TGGTCTCCATCCTCGGCCAGGCAAAACACACAGTGGATGTCGTTGACCTCCTCACTCGTACTGAGACTCTGGAGCGTCAAGTTTTGGAAACCGGCCAGGAGATTAGTGGCCGACAACAAAATAGCTGGTCGAGCCGGCGACACTTGCCACGGAACATTGTTCGTTCGCAGCATTGCAGCAGTGACAAAGGAATTGATTGACTGCACTGGCTCGGAGCTATCTGACGGGGAAACCAGCGAGTCTTGTCTGATCCCGCGACGAGGGGCCGACCGGTCAGTGTTGCCTGATTCCGCTAGGCGTCGCCTGGAGGTTGACGATATATGACTCTGACTTGTATGAGTAGCAACTGACGGGGAGGCAATCCGAGAGTCCTGTAGTATTCGTGCCTGATTGCGGACGGCTGCCTCATACCACTGCTGGCCCACTTGGTCGGCCTGTTGTAGGCGATGCCATCTCACACAGAGGAATTCTTTGGCAACATCACAGAGCTTTGATTGCAAATTTGACAGATCAAACGGCTCTCTGGCAAGAGTGATCAACTTTTGATGGCCTATCTTGGTGTCTTCAACTTTGATCGAGTTTTTGCACGGCTCGCCTTTCTTTTCGTCCCGCAACAGGAGCCAGGACCGCGGTGGGGGATCCCGCAGACAAGAAATGGATTCCAAGACAGTATAGTAGACATTGTATCAGGAGCAAAGGCCGAAAATGATTCGGATGGGAATTGGTACTTAGCAACCTCTGCAGCGTTCCAACGACAGCTTTATATGCCATCGGCATGGGAGGATATACCGACATAGGCAGCTGACATGGAAGTTCTCCCTTGAAACAGTCACTACGTCACAGAATGCATTCTCATGCGGTATGCAGCGCTATACAGCCGATCAGTGGCCTGCGAGAAGGAATGTCGTATTCCAGATCACTGTTGCTTACATCAATTGAAATGTGGCTGTACATTACGACCATGCGTTGGGGGAATCGGTGGCTCCCGCTGTAGGCAACGTAGTCGGCAAGATTACGAGTTGCCTTTAGACCGTTCGATGTGGGTATTAGGTTATGATTTGCTTTAAACTCAAGGCTCTAGGTGCGAAGGTCGTACCCGTTTGATTTAGTCTCCCGGGGGCCATTGACGCACTCCTAGGAACCATTTGGGGGTTCCAAGAATTCTAAGGTCCAAGTGCGAGGGTCTCACGTATACATAGAGGGGGGCAGCTTCTTCCAGATGATTAATGAATATGAAGAAGAACTATAGTTGACTCTAGATACATGATGTAGCACAAGGGAGCAGAAGCGGCTTCCTCGCGTTCAGGGGAACCCAGATGCACCATGTTGGTCCCGCATATCATTTCTCCACGCATCCCGTATGCTTCATGTATAACCCTGAACAATGCGACTAGAGCTCCCAGGAATTAACACCGTCTTTCCAGGAATGAGACGAGAAATTTTGGTGGCCAACTAAGCCCAGACTTCATGCTCAGGCATGTAAGGGCCCAGTGAGATGAAAAGCCCCACTACGCGCTTTCTCAAGCATCTATATATTGCACTCTTCCTACATGATCACAGATACCACTCGAGAATAGAACTCTCCAACTGGAAGACTACATCCCAGATCTCACAATCACCCCAAGGCATTTACAACTATTCCTCATCACGGCCTGGAATCCTACTCATCTCCAATGGGTATTGAGCCAAGCATTGGGCGATCCCTTACACCGTGAGCGGTGCATATGGGTTGCAAATGACGGGAATCACTATCAAAACACCGTGCCGATTGAATCCCGGATATATGGAGTATTGTGCTTTCGGCTCTCCCAGAACTCTTCTTTCGCATATCCTTTAGAGCAGAGATTATCTTTGGCTGCAAAGCAACTTTTTTGTTTTGAGTGCAGACGCCATAGCTCTCGACGAAAGGTGTGGGCCAACCAAATTTTGCGTTTGTTAGATGCTCGTCCGGATCAAGCCAAAGATGTCATGGGTCAATCGGAAACTCATGATTCGGCTCTATTGGTACATCCGTGGCCAAGCAGCATGCCTTACAGCGTTGACATGGCCGTGTTCCCCAATGAGGCCTTCTCAAAAACAAGGAAAGACTGCCCGAAGAGGCAAATCGAGCGGTGCTTAGGTTGGCCGGAGCCGTGAAAATCCGTCGTCCGGATCTTCTCCAGACGAGAAACCCCTTCACTTGAGCTGTATCCGTTACATGCCTCCAGTGATAAGCACGGTGTTCTCCGATAAAGAAAGTTGATTGACGTTCTCTGGCAACTGTCGCATGTTTCCCACGGAAGTGGGCACCCGAAAGCTTTTGCTTTTTCACAACCCACCCGCCCAGCCTGCTACTCTCCTCGCGGGATCTGAGTCAGATGATGAGTTGAGCTTGACCCTGTTTTGTAACGCTCTGTGGTGATGGATTGCAAGTCAATCGAGTTGTCTGTTGTTTCTTTCTCATGGTTTTTTATGTTTGTTGGGGACACCTCTGGGGATGGGGCAGCTGATCGCCGCGTGCGTCCAGATTCAGAAGCGGTGGCAGGGATATCTGGGAGATATTTTGATCGACTGGGAGAAAAGACTTTGAATGAATTTTGAAGCTTTCGCTTAAGCTTTGGGAAACAAGAAGTTAACATGTTTTTGATAAGTCCCAATTGTATTTGCGCTTGTAGTGTGTAGAAGACTCACAAAATGGTAGTTTGAGGAGATCTTTAGAGTTGGGAAGTGACTATTACATCCGAAGGATCATTGGGAACCGGATAGAAGACGATAACTTCGGTCAAACGATTTTGGCGCCGTTGCCAGGGAGAAACATGGGCCGTGGTCTGTAAGAGCGAGTGATATTTAATTTAGGTAACTCTCGTGATATGAAGCGCTATCTGAAATCGAAATTTGCATCACCGTCGTTCAGATGATTCGCAGTCACAATAACGTTACAATTAACTTCAATGAGCTCTACTCGATTTAGGATCCAATGCATCAGGAATACACTTGCAGGCCACCATTAGGGATATCATCTGCAATGTGTGTTGTAAGGCTTCACCTGTCGCCCAATTCTTCATATAACTGAGTATTTGGGTGAACAACAGGTGAGATCGAGCATCAACAGTTGAGGTAACTGTTTACTGAAGTATTCAATGCTGTTGAAAACCAGACCCAGGTGGTTATGAGTGCAATCACAGCAGCCTTGGTGTGAGTTTGCCGGTCTATAAAAGGCTCTCGAGCAGAACTTTTCCTCCATTTCATTTCTACAGCCATGATGGACCATCCCACCTCGCCTTCTCCAATTGATCGGCCAGCGAAGAGACAGCGTCGGGTATCCCAAGATGGAGAAGATGAGTCCTCGGAAAACCACCCACAAGAATCTTCAAACGGCACAATTATCGAGCCCAAGGTCGGTCATACCTCTTCGGCAGGAAACGAACAGAAACACTAATACTCTGCAGATCCCAGTGACACCTGGTGCCCTGACGGTGGAGTTTATGAAAATTCTACAATACAATGACACCCTCGCTACGCCAGCCCTCAAACTGCTCGACTTGTACTTCTGCCTATGGGAATGCTACGTGGTCAAATCTGTCGAGAAGATGCGACTTGAGGATGAGCAGCGACAGCTTCAAGAGTTGAATGAGTGGCTAGCAAGCGACAGTGACATCCTTCTGCATCTTTGCGAGGAGCAGAAATTGGTGTTGTGGGATCGAAAACGAGCAGTTCAGGCCCTTTGTAACGGTGTGGTTTCAGCCTTGCAAGCGAGCGATCCTCAAGCCTATCATGTTGATGGGAATTGATAAGGTCTCAGTATTGTTGGGCGCTCGTGGATAGTGACAAATTTGGATATTTCTGCGTATTTGCGTTCTGTACCAGATATTTTCGCTGATCATAGAAAATGCCCATGCAGCTGCGGACGAAGTTTGGTTTTGTGACGAAGCGTCAACGTTTCACGGCTGTTGGTATTTCCAGCGCTGGTTTTTCGAAACCTTAGCATCTGGCCATAAAGTCCTCCTAACGTGCCCTGGCCTTCTATAATTGAAGATAAATAAGATCTCTGCACAGCTTGTGGCATCCTGTTCCTCCCAACCCCATTAATTGCTACTTCATACACTTCTGTAATTTCCCACCAGCAGTTTCTGAATTGAAATGGACGAATTGAGCGAGTGGTGTCTGTACATGTTCCTTCAATGCTTGTTTTGTGCTAAAATTGGTGACTGTGACGCTATCTGGCAGAAGTCTTCTGGTATATCGACAACGCCCTCATGTCTTGCCACGGATCTGTATCCGCGACATATTATCTAGGATGAAACCGAGCCTGCAGAATATGGGACCGGGGGTCTCCCTTGAATGAATGTTTTTTAACCCCAATAACGACAATCTCTCCGGCTTCAAGTGGACGGGTCCAGATTCTCCGTTCATTTCTACTCAGGCTAGCGATAATTTCTACATGTCAGCGTTCGCTTTTTTTTCCCGAAGAGGTGCAATAGATAGAGCGTCGACTAGCTCGGCTTGGTTCGACATCTGGCGAGACTATAGGAGAGCATATATTCTTTTTTCCCTGGGTTGAAACGGCCCAGGGGAATCTGTGTCGGGTACGCAGGCAGGCAGTTGCTAGACACAGTCGCCCGACATAGGATTGGTGAAATAGCCATTAGCTTCCGCATGATCCTATGGCCTAGTACGGAGCCTCTACCGCATTCCACGACGGCTATTCATGCCCTTCTTACTGTAAATACGCGCCAAATATAGAATGCTTCCATGCGGTAATTCTCTTTCAATTGCGGCTCTATCGTATTATCTCCAAGTTGTTACAGTAAGACATAGGACAGATATGAACATGCAATACTTCACTCTTCTCTTGCGTTGTCCAAAAACCCTGGTAGATTGAGTCTGCAAGGGTGATCCCAGTCATCGAGTACCCTAATCAGTGGACCCCGAGATGATTCCAGTGCCTGCTCAAAGAAGCGCAGCCGAGACAGCTGCTTGTCGTGGCGAAGCTGAAGACCGTCCCTCGTTTTGCTCAGGTGTGTGCTAGCCTCCTTCAAGATCTGATTGCTCTGCTCTAGCTTCTGGCCATCGATGTGCTTGGACAGGCATGACTCCCATAGGCGTCGATAGAGTCCGACAAGTCGAGCCGCTGGAAAGGCGAATTTGGGATCATCGCGTTCGAGGTCTGCTAGCACTTTTAAAATAGGTTGAAAGGGTTCCGTCACCAAGGTATGTCTTGTTTCTGCTTCCTGTTGCGAGGGAGAGAGCTGCAAAGGTCAGCAAAAGCATTGAAAGCTGAGTCGTTTCACTTACCATTGGCGTATGATCAGAAGCTTCCTGTGAATTGTCTTTTTCACAAACGATTGGCAATGCACTGAGCTGCTGTTCTCCTTCTCTTTCCTGGTCTGGCGAGCTGTTTGAGGCATCCATGTCGTCTGTAGGAGAAAGTCGAGGGTCTGAGCAATACCACCTCCATCAATCCTTGGAGTCTTTTATAGACTACAGTAACTATACAGACATAGTTGGTTATGTACTCAGTCTCACTATCACCATGAAAGTCAATCAACGCAGACGGATTTTGAATTTCAGAGCTCCGTTAGCATCCCATTCAATGATGGTGATGGTGATCCAGTCTCGCGGTGTTGATGGATAGTGAGTGTACCTCATACTCAGTGGCTCACTGGTGATGAAAGTTCCTCCAGGTGATATATATTTGATCACAACACTTTTTCCACATTCGTTGAAAGCCTCAGAAATCCCAAAATCAGATAGAGTAAAACTTAAAGTACTGAAAAAGGAAAGTGAAAGAACAAGGTATCTATTTCAACGCTGGTCACAAGTTCAAAAGTTGACTAAAGTCAACAACGAAGGGCAACCAACGGGTTGACGGATCGAGTACCGGCGCCCGCGCGACCGTGGCCTGACGCTTTCCGCAGTCTAGACGGACAGAACCACACACAGCTCAGACAACCAACACTCAAGCGAGGCCGGAAAAAATCCATGATTATTAGTGACGACAATTTGAGCGCTTTTTGGTAAATCCAATATTGATTAGCTTCCAGTGCCTCATTATAGAAGACCGTAGATTCAACAGTGAGCCAACGTTTCTTAACCGACTCACTTGACTCATTTTCAACATGACTCTAGCACATTTTTCTCGCTGGGCATCTAAAATGACACCAGAATTCCGCTGCAAATAGTTGCGGTAGAACGAAGGCATGGGTCGCAACAGGCCTCACTTGGGATAGGCGTCGTGTCCTTCAACGTTTGCTCCCTAATAGAGCACGTACGCGACAGGAGCCGAGAAGCCTATAAATACGTCCTCTGCTCCCAGCAATTTGTTCTCCAATACTATCACTTGGCT